ACATGACCTCCCCAGCCTCTCCCCTCTCACAGCTCCCTGGGAGTTTCTGGGACGCTGACTGTTTGTTTAACAACGAGGGACACGGGCGAGGGTGCGAGCAGTGACCACCGGGGGCCGCAGTCATGAGAGTGGGACCAGCAGCCCTGGCTGGGGGGCTCTTCGGGGCAGCAGGGACCCTGTGCTTCTTCCTGGCCTTCGCCACAGACTACTGGCTGGTGGCCAGCGACAACTGTGGACCGTACGCAACCGTGACCGGGGGGAGAGATGTCAACGGGGGGAGAGATGTCAACGGGGGGAGAGATGTCAACGGGACTGAGGTAGGTACCAGGGTGAACCGGTACTAGTGCAGGGTCAAACCTCAGGAACTGTTGAGGGACTTCACTGGATCAGTGTCCACTGTAGAATCCAGTGAAACTTCACTGTCGGTGAAACGACCAAAAACAAAAAACTTCTCCAGTTTCACTGTGTTTGTTTGTTTGTTTCTTGTTCCGGTTGTTTGTTTTTTTTTCCTCTTGTTGTTTTTTAAGTTTAAGTTTCGTTTTCTTTTCTTAATATATACTGTATATTATAGTTAATTTGTTTTTTAAATTAGTATTAATGGTAAGTGTGCTCCTTAAAATCCGTTACTTCATGTCATTATTTCACCAACAGATGTCGCTAAATCTTTACATTTCACACATCATGCACACAACAACAACAACAACAACAACAACATTACCAGTTTACCGGTGACTTTTTTTTATATAGACTGTGGTAGAAAAATATGTTTAATAATATTTTTTAAGTACTCAAAACTGCATACTTGAATATATATAGTTTTGTGTATTTAAATGAAAATGTTTACAAATATTTTAAATATTATATAAAAACACTTAAAACTTTCAATCGTAATTTTACTATTTAATATCTTTTAAGACTTAATTAGAGACAGAATTCACCAAAAATTACATCAAATAGATTTTAAAAAAAAATCACGGACGATGACGTCACCACAGTTAGTTTTCACGTAACTTCTCTACAGCCATGACTCAGCATTTCAGCCGAGGAGGACCCCCCCCCCACCCCCCCCCCCCCCCCCACCCACGCCCCCCCACAAAAATAAAAAAAAAAAAAAAAAAAAAAAAAGTTCCCAACAAGAGAGGACGATTAAAGAAAGAAAGTTGCTGAACGTTAGTCGGCGCCATCCATCATATTTCTGACAGGCAGGGGGAGACTCTCAGTCAAGCGTGTTCCATTGTTACCCCAGAAAACCTCACACAGCTGCAGACCATAATCAGTACCAGGTTCGGTGCCATGGTACTGACGTGGAGCAGCAGTTCAGGAGAAGAGTCACAGGTCCATCCGTTAAAAATAAAAAAAAAACACTAAAATAAAAATAAAATACAATTTTTATTTTGACAATTTCTAATAAAAAAACAAATGGTGGGAGGGGCATGTGAGGGTTGGGGGCGGGGCCACACCAAAAGACAGTAAAGGGGAAAAAAAAACATTCTCTAGTCACGTCTTCTGCTCACAAATATGCGGGTCGCGGGCCAGTTGTAGACCACGGATGCCCCTTTGAGGGTCACTCATACAGACAGTTAACAAATTCTGCCTTCCCCACTTTCTTCCCTCCCTCCCATCTCTGACTGTTGACTGTTCCTGTTCCCTCTTCAGGTTCCCTCGTCGGTGGAACCCGTCACCGATTCTCCAAACTCCCTGATCCTGCACCACGAGGGTTTCTTCTGGCGCTGTGTGTTTCACGTGGAGCCCGGAGAACACCCGGTCCTGGCCACCCTCTTCAGTAAGCAGACACCGTAGAAGGGTTTGTTTACACCTGCTGCCCAGCAGGGGGCAGTGTGACAGGCGTGTGCAGCAGAAGCTGACGTCATGTCGTGCGTCCAGGTTAAAGAGACGTCTCTTCACAAAACTCTTTCACATTTCTTTTTTTTTTTCTCCTCCAGCCAACCAGCCGCAGTCCAAGTTGTGTAACCATGGTTACCTGTTTCCTCTTCCTGTTGCCCTTGGACCCGTTCCTCATCCCACTTACGATGCCACAGCAGGTAATTCACCGAGTCAAAAACACGACGTGGCCAGAATGACGTAACAAGAGTGAGAAAATGGAGAAAATGCTAATGGTGACATTTACGTCTCAGCTCTGCCATAAAATAAAGTCGACCGAGACGTGGAGTACGTGAGCGACAGTCGCTGGTTCAAATCCATAACATTTTTAAAACAAACACAGAATCACATGATCATCGGTGATGCTTGCTGTTTCAAACACTGGCCTCTGGTAGGCGCTGTGGAGCACTCTACTCTGTATATAAATATTCCTCATTTTGTTTACATTGTTTTGTTTGAAAAAAAAAGTAGTAAAAAAAATTGTGTCATTGAACCGACAACCTCCACTTCAGGTTGTTGGATTACTGAGAGGTGATGACATCACAGTCACCGGCGTTCCTCTGACGGCGGCTGAGCTTGGTTTTTTTTCCCCTCCAGTGTTTCGGGGATTCTGGACTCTGCTGATGGTCCTGGGTCTGGGGTCGGCTCTGGTCGGAGGATTCCTCCTGGTCTGCGGCGTTCCCTTCTACAGCCACAAACTCTACAAAGTGGGCGGAGCCTTCCTGGTCGCCTCTGGTAATAAAAATAAACATCTGTGTGTGAGAGAGTGTAGCCGTAGCTTCTGTGTCGAGCTAACTGTCCTGGCAGCAGAGAGAGTCGCGGCTCAAACTCAGGGTCGCGGCTCAAACTTAGGGTCGAGGCTCAAACTCAGGGTCGCGGCTCAAACTCAGGGTCGCGGCTCAAACTTAGGGTCGAGGCTCAAACTCAGGGTCGCGGCTCAAACTCAGGGTCGCGGCTCAAACTTAGGGTCGAGGCTCAAACTCAGGGTCGCGGCTCAAACGTAGGGTTGCGGCTCAAACGTAGGGTTGCGGCTCAAACTTAGGGTCGCGGCTCAAACTCAGGGGCGCGGCTCAAACGTAGCGGCTCAAACGTAAAGTTGCTGCTCAAACTCAGGTTCGTGGTTCAAACATAGGGTCGAGGCTCAAACTCAGGGTCGCTGCTCAGACTCAGGGTCATGTCGCAGTGTTTCCTGCGGTCAACTGTCCGTCGGCTGTCACAACAAACACACAGATGTCGCTCTGTCGCCACGACAACAGCAGGTGTAAATGTAAACACAGCCTCCCTCTCCCTGTCTCCCCCCTCCTCTCCCCTCTCCTCCTCCTCCCCCACAGCCTGTCTGTTCCTGTTCCTGCTCCTCCTCTTCCTGTTGTGGATGGAGGCCGTGGACGTCCAACGTTACGTCCTCCAGGAGCGAGGAGAAGCCTGTCCACTGGCCCAGGTGTCCGTCCTCTACGGACTCTCCTTCATGGTGGCCGCGGCCGGCGTTCCCCTGGAGCTCGTCTCCGGGTTGGTGTTCATCCTGGTGGGCAGGGCGCTGCGCTGCGGCGTGTGAGCCGGACTGAAGATCAGCCGGAGAGACCAGACCAGAACTGAACCAACAATTTGGAGTCTGTGTCACGGTGTAATTCAGGGGACATCTTTGTCGACCGTTTTTTTATTTTATCTCTGTTCCAGATTCGTCTTCCTGTTCGACTGGTTTCACTGGTACTTCAGAGCTGAACCAGCACACAGACAGGGGGCGATAAAGAGGTGGGGGTCGGCGGGGTGA